GGCAGGATTGCCAAAGCCAGCAGGTCGAGGCTGCTATGGCCGGGAGCAGCCACTGCACTCCAGTCTGGGCGACTGAGTGAGACTCCAACTCAAAAAAAAAAAAAACAACAACAAAAAACAAATACATTGTTTATGAATTTCCCCATAGCATATACTAACTAAAAATTAAATAAAATCAACTTTAATATGAAAAATTCTATTTATTGAATACTTCTTGAATTGCACTAACAATACTCCATGCACTATCCTTACCAGAAAAGTAATTTATTCGGCCATGTTCAACATTCCCAAGATAGTAAAGTCCATCCAAATTCTCTGAACCAAAAGTATCGGTCTTCTCTTATCATGTCACATTTCCCCACTCCATGTTTGGAATAATAAGTATGACTCACATTGAGAGTTCCCAAATTAAGTAAGAGTTTTATTATTAGAATGTGGGATATATGACTCCTTATCTTTTATTAACAATGAATATGCAAAAGTACAAAAGTGATGTCTAAACAAAATTTAAAAATAAATAATTAAACATATTAGTGAAAGCAAAGATTAGAATACTATCTATCTTTAGCGACATTTGCTTTGATGTGCTCTATTTTTATGCCTGGATTATGTTTGATTTTAGAAAATCTGTTACAGAAGGAAAATTGCTTCTCAGTTTTACTTACAAACTATACTATTTTAAAAATCAGTTCCAAGAAAAAGTGCTTTTCCCTTGAGAAACATAGGCATCTTCATTTGTAATCGTGAGAAAATAAAGTCTAGTGTTTACAACTCTGTCTCCCTGAATTCAAATGTTATGTTTGATCACACTATTTAAAGCATGTATGCTTTCTCACTCATCTCATATGACTGATGATCTTTTTCCACTGAAGCATCTTTATTTACTTTATGTCTGACTTTCACAATAAGAAGTCTTAATACCTTTTGATTTACAAAACAATAATATATCTGGCTAATGTCACTTGTTTGACTTATAAAGAAACCAAGGTTCAGAGAACTCAGCAATTAGTAACTTCAAAATTCAATCTTTATTTTTGAAACTATTCTTTCCTTATAATAGCACACTTCATCTGCAGTAATCTTATTCCCCTGTTTTTAGTAACTGGAACACACATTTATGGCAAAAACTTCCTAATTATAACCAAGGAAGTAACTACTCCTAAGTGATACATTTTTTATGTAAACAATGGGCATCTGAAATGCCAGGGGCCTCTGTGTAAGTGAAATTTATGGAAGAGCATTTTCAATATGCTCTTTCTAATTGATCCCCAAATTATGATAATCTACTTGAGAATCTATGTAAAATATTATCTGTCATAAATTTAAAATATTGTGTATTGTTATTAATATGTCTCTGTTAAATTTAAAGTGTCTCTAAAATATTTACCTGCATAAGAAGGATATATATAACAAAATTTTGGAAGAGAAAAATAAAAATATGATAAAATCTAAGGGATTTAGTGTCTGAATCTAGAATATAGAATTACTCATATATTTACATATTTTGAATTGATTAAATACTGCAATTTCTAAACTTATGTGCCAAAGACAATTACAGAAATGTCTACGAATTTGGCATTTATGACTGCATATTTAAAAAAGAGAAATGAAATGTTGAATAACTTAAAATAAAAAATGTTGCAATAATATGTCATACTTAATAACTGACCTGATGGATAAAAAACTATTTTTTATAAGTCTCTTTTAGGGTAAGATTTTCGGTATTGGAAAATTATCATCTAAAATCCCCTTCCAATTTAGATAATAAGAAGCGATCATGATTTTTTATGAAAAAAGTATATTTTAGGTTAATACTAATAATCAAGTGACAATAATACAGAGTTTTCAGGAAACAAATAAGAGGACTTCCAAACACCAAAGTTAAAGAAAAGTTTTACTATTTATGTGAGAAGTTGTGCAATGCAAGTTCTCATTAGAAAAGATTTAATGACACTTGAATGTAGGAACAATATTAAAAACAAGGACAAATGTAGTAAAACAATATTGAAGTGACTTGAGGGGAGAGATGGAAATTAAAGAAAAAATATTTTAAAACAAAGAAGAGATAAAATTTTAAAATAAGATATTTCAATTATGTTTTTATTTTAGATAGGAATAAGTACGTTCAATGTAGGACCTCAGAAAAGGAAAGGATTTTATATATCAAAGGTATTCTATTTAAATTACATTTTTTTAGTTGAGATAAAATATATTTGTCAGCATGTTGTTCTCAGCCTCACTTAACCCTATTTAAAATTATAGTATATAAAACAATAAGGAAACTAACCTTTAATACAGGCAGCTCTGTTTTTCTAGGAAAGTACATCAGTGTGTGTCTGTGTCTACTCCATCAAATACGGACAAAACTATAAAAATTAGCCAATGGTATTCAATAAACTCTTTAGGAGTTTGCAGTTAATTTTCATGATATTTAATAATGGACACAGATTAAATATAAATGTTATGGGAAAAATAATCAGCCTTTAAAAGTCTGAAGATACATCAAAACACTAAATTAATTAAAATTGCAGATAAATCAATAACAATTACTAAGCACTCAGAAAGTATTTGAGTTATTAAGGAACTGAGCGGCATGGAGACTTGCTTTTGACTTTTGCATAATACATTCCACAAAATTTTCCATCTTGAATTACTTTTACTATAGATATTATTAAAATGAATTAGCATGGAACAATGGAAAAAGTGTGATTACTATTTCATGCTAGGACATATATTTCTGCATGTCAGAATTATGATTTTTGCAGCCACTTAATTATCCTACTTTAGTTTATTAATCCAATTTTTTTCATTTGATTATGATTTTGAGAATTACTTCTCCAATTGAATTTATGCTGCCTAGGTAAAATGTTATTTGAAAATAATGCAATCAGAAAAATTAAGTCTGAAAAAGGAAAGTTGTAAAAGGATACCAGGCAAAGGCATATTTCATATAACTTTCCCTTGATCTTATTAGAAAATCATAGCTTCGATTTTCTTAGTCCATTTTATTTCCTCTGTGTTGTGCAGATATAGATCACACCAAAAATCACCCTTTTTCTGCTGAAAATAGAAATGTTGTACCCCATAAAACACATCTGTTCCATTTTACTATAGTGAATTCATTGATATGTTGATTTTCTGTGCTGAAAACAGACAGGCAATGATAGAAAATCAAATTGAATCTTAAAATTCTAGAAAAGTCCTTTTAAGACCAATAAATAGACTATTGAAAAAAATAATTAAATACACAAATCTACTGGCAGTAGTGAAAAGTAACCCTATGTGAATTACCAGTTCCATGAAATCATAAAACAAATGAAGTACCATTTAATTTTTGAGGTGGAAGTTCTATATTTTTCCATCAGTTTCTACATATACATATAAAATAAATGCCACATTATTTTATTCAAAAGAAGAATAGAAGCCACTCGACTGAAAGAGTCCATGAATCTAGTAGAAAAGATCACTACATGAGTCAAAGAGAATAGTCTCTTGAATTTCTGCCACACCATCTGCCTTAACTCATTGTAGAAAGAAATCAGAGCCATAAAATCATGTGCTTGAAAAACTCCACAAGGAAAGGGGTCAGCCTACAGATAAAGAAACTTCACAATAATTATTTATTTCCCATACAAAAGTCCTCTAATTTCTGAAGTACACAAAAATTTTATAAATTAAAATTAGAAACTGGAAAAAATATTTTTGCAAATTTAAAAGTGACATTGGCTTAAAGTGTAAGATCCAAATTATCATGCCTGAAAACTGTCTTTAATAAAATATATGAAAATAAATTTTTATATGAATATTTATTTTTGAAGTCTAAAATATGGTGGCTAAATAATTTCTATTATGAGAAATTTTAATAACTTTCATTACTATAAAAGCATATTTACATTTATACTTCTATTCCAGTTAACTGCTTTAGAAATACAAATTATTATAGATTTTCTACAATGGATTTTGTCTACAATCTTTTTTAAGTTACAATACACAGATTTTTATTACAATAACTCCCAGTGCACTATTTTGAAATTCAAATTACAAATCACATTACTCTGTTACTGTTATCAAGAGTAATATTATTGATAGAACAGCTGCAGAGAGGATACTGGCTTTCAAAATATAAATTAATTATTAAAATTTTTATTTCAAAAACAAAAATATGGTCTAATGCCATTTTTGGTACCAAATATAAGCTGCCAAATGTCACCATATTAAATTTGCAAAGTGCATAAGACTGAAGACTACTAAAGGGGAACGCATTGAAAATAAATAAATAAATAAATAAATAAATAAATAAATAAATAAATAACCAGATCAATGGAAAAATGTAACTGTGGCAATGCTCACTATTTCCTGAACAATAGATGATACACTACTGAGAACAAAATGAATTATTTGCATAAGTAGTTTGAGGATGAAATACACTAAGCCCACATAATATTACTGAACATTGTAGAAGCTGCATTTTCCCTAATATATCATCTTCATAATAATCTCATTCCTAAGGGTTTTTTCAAGTTAATGCATCAAATATTATATTCTACTTATTCAAAAGTAAGCCTGTTAATACAGTTGGTAGATAAATATCCTAACAAGGTTAATTAAGGTACTAATAACAAACAAATTGCATATGGAAATGAAATTCAATTGATGAAGAGCCTAATTACAACTGAAAGTTTTCTGCAGTGTTTTGTGGTACTGCTTAGCATGTCCAACTGCTAAAGCACTTTATTGAACCAAAATATCGCATCTGTTACATGTTACCTTTTAAATGTCATAATATTCTTTATTCTAAATATCATATTATAAAAATGAGCTAACTTTAATATTCTAATTTAATTATAATCACATTACTGCCTCAGCAAGAGAATGACTATTTTGCCTACTGAAATTACCATTTCTAAGTGATAAAAACATTTTTTCTATCACAAAATGCAATCATGTATACCAAGATCATTTTACACATCAAAAGAGGTAGAGGTATTCATTAAATATACCTTGATAAGGAGCACTAAATCCACGATATCGATGATTGCTGTCTGTTACAAAATGCAGTCTGAGCCAGTTTTTGTTGCTGATAATTGGTGGTGGTATATTCATTCCAGATAACCTGAATTATGAAAAACAACAACAAAAATTTAAAAAGCTTTTCAGCAGTAAATATTTTCCCTGAAATGGGACCAAAAACATATCTAACTGTGTACCATATTCATGACTTGCATTGTGAGCTATTTAAGCACAAATGAAATAGTTATTTTATGCATAGGTCAGCCAGTCATAGAATAGTGCAATTCCAATTAAATACTGTTCTAACCAGGTTGTATATATTAATAAAAATCAACCATAAAATCACAGATGTGTATGATTTTTTATTCACCTACATTGATTTGCTACACTGATATTATTATTTATTACATGATAATTATAAACATAATAGATATTGAGCTGATGGTGCTAGTCACTGTGCTCCCCATGTATGTATTGATGCAAGATAGTCACAAAATAGTAAGACTTCAAAGAAATTGACATCTATTGATATATTTATAGTGTTGTTTCCAGAGATAATACAGTTATTTTCTTATACTCCTTACTATTCACCAAATATAATTTTACTATTTCACACTGGATGGCAAATTTCACAATTTCTTTTCATAGAACAAGCAGTGTGTTTATGTAATTTGATAATACTATAAATTTTCATGATTAGCTTTCATTATAATATACAATACAATAATGTGTTATAACCATGCGTACAGGCAGAAAGCAGATTGTATATATCCAAACAGATATATTTGGATATATGTTTAGTCTTTATATATTGTTCACAAAGATACCACTTTATAATATCCTCAAAACAAGTATCTTAAAGCAAAATTTTGAAACTATGTCTCCAGATATTTATTATAATCAATATATGAAATAACTCTTGCTTTATAATCTTTTGAAGATTTCCAGGGAAGCAGTTTTTCTGACTTCTCTCAACAAAAATATACCACTCTCATATTTCCACCATATTTTAAGTTGAGTTGTGTGATATAAAGCCAAGTTGAAAGATTTTCAAAAACCAGATTACTATATAGTGAAAAAGAGTTTTTGACTAAGGTTTCTTCATAACCAATATATGATATGTTCTTACTATTCTTTCAAGCTCATATTTTTCTTCTTCAAAGGCAAAACAGACAGCTCATGTATTAGTTTGGGGATGAGGGTGTCAGGAGGGATTGCAGTTCTTCTCTCACTGCTTGGTAGTCAGGCATGCTAAGGGAAGAGTAGGGAGAGGATGGAAAATCTGTGAATCATTGGTCAGATGTATGGAAGGTGATGCAAGAACTCTCTATTCAACACCCTTCCCTTTATCTCTGAAAATCCACCTTTCTTAGGATGTTTGGGAGCTAGCCACCACTTTTAGTAGATGACCACCTGTGCACTGAAATGTAAACTCATCTCTATTATATCACCGTGCTCACTGGCGTATAGAATGTTTACTTCCAATATGAGTAACTTGGGCTCTATCCCTACTTTTCTCCTTTTTATTCTTGCTTTGAATGCATTTTTTAACCATTTCCTTATAAATCCCCTATTTTCTCTTTTTCATAAGGGTGTTTCTGTGTATTTATCCAGATGGTTGATTTTTTTTCTACCTGAGTTTAGTAAATGAAAATATAAAATACAACTGTAGAATTTCAGACTCGAGTTTTGAAATATGATTTCTTTACTTTCAGAAAACATACAGGTTATGTTTACTTGTGTTTGCTTATTGGCTTGGTTCAAATAGTTATTCAGTGAAAAAAACTTGGATTTGCTTCAATTATATTTTCAATAGAGTAGCATAGTCAATGCCAGATTTTTATTTACAATGTGGTTCTGTTCAATTCCCTGATACAAAGAGCATAAATATCTGTTAGGAAAGTTTAAATTATTTTTGACATGCTGCACACATTTCTAAATGTCATGAGACTACAATACATGGATGATGATAATACACTGAAGCACAGAATTTGGAGAGAGACTCATTAAATACCCAGTGATAGAAGTAACTCTGCAGGGGCTTTAAAAAATGCGAGAAAGGAAAAAAAAGATGAACAATAAAATGGATAAACTTTCCATCTTTTGCAGGGAGATCAAAGGCAATTTCAGTAAAAGAGTATAGCTAAGGCATGTAATAACTGCTATGCAACTGTCGTTTGCAACTTGAATTCAGTTTCATGAATCTAGGAGAGTGGAACTGAAGAAAGTGGAGTTGCAGAAGCAAGAGGCAGAATGTGTATGGGGCGGAGCAAATAATGGCAGTTTAACCGAGGTGGAACTACAGGATATTCCTGACAACCTCGACGTCTCAGTAAATAAAGGAAAACCTTTCCAAGCCAAGAAATGGGACCAGAAAGCACTTTGCACCACAGCATCCCTCTGCCACCAGAGAAGAGATGTACAGTCATTGATTATAGAGGAGTAACATTGGTTTTGCACATTGTAGTAATTTCATTTTGCTCATTATTTAAACAATCTGCAGAATATGACTTGGTTAATGGTTTATGGAACAACTTTGTAAGTGAATCTACCATATCTCTGCCCCATATTTCACATGGTATCAAAAGTAGTACTGGGAAATGGGGGGTTGAGACTATATGCCACATGGAAAGAATCCACTAAACTAATTAATTAAATATTACTTTCTTAAATACAAAAAGACATATTTCTAAAATATAACTCATTGTTATTCCAAATCACTATGGTCGTTTGAGAGTAATCAAATGTGGGGTCATCCTAGTATAAAGTCAGTGGGAATCATCTTTTAATGGCCATCATCAATAACTCAGAAAACAACAAATGCTGGAGAGGATATAGGGAAGGAAAAGGGAAAGCTTCTACACTGTTGGTGGGAGTGTAACCTATACAACCTCTATGGAAAACAGTTTGGCGATTCCCAAAACATCTAAAAATCGACCTTCCATACAACCTTGCAATCCCCTTTCTGGGAATATACCCAGAGGAACTCAAATCACTCTATGAAAAAGATACCTGGACATGTATGTTTATTGCAGCATTGTTCACAATAGCAAAAACATGGAACCAACCGTGTTGCCCATAGAAAGAGGACTGGATTTTTAAAAAATGTGGTACATATACACAATGGAATATTATGCAGGCATAAAAAAGGTCAAAATTATTAACTTCACAGCAACTTGGATGGGTTTAAAGGTTACAATACTGATCTATTACAGAAACAAAGAACGAGTATCACATGCTCTGACTTGTGAGCAATCCTTGAACAATTATCATAATACTATAAGAAAAGGATTAGCAGTAGCATGAAACTGTTGGGGTGTTAGGGGTGGGATCAGGCAGTAGTGGGAATCTGCGGGGGAGTGGAGGGCCACACCTCATCAACAAGGGCACCTGCATAATGAACATTTGTATAGCTAACCCTGAATTGTGCCCCACATCTTTAAAATAAAAAATTTAAAAAATATGTATAGAATTTAAAGAATAATAATAATAAGGAGATTGTGTGCATTTGTTCAATGATTATTTCCTGAACATTAACTGCATGACAAACACTAATACTAAAGATTATAAATATATTAGTACGAAAGACAAAGACTATGGTTGAGGTACATATCTTCTGTATATAATATGTTGAGAATTTTAATAATGAAGAGATATTAAATTTTCTCAATGATTTCTGTTTCTACTAAAATAATCATATGATTTTTGTCCTTTTTTCAGTTGATGTGACATACCATGTTTATTTATTATTTGTGGATGTCAAATTGTGCATGCATCCCTGGAATTAATTTCACTTTGTCACAGAAAATAATATTTTAATGTGCTGCTGAATTTAATGTGTTAGTATTTTGTTGAGAAATTTTACATCTATACTCATCTGTCATATTGTCCTATAGTTTTCTTTTTTGTCATCATGCCCTTGCCTGGGTTTTGGTACCAGGCTAATATTTGCCTAGTAGAATGAATGTAAAAGTATTAATTTTTCTTCAGTTTTTCTGGAATAATTTGAGAAAAATTGGTATTGCTCTTCAAATGTTTGTTGAATTCAGCAGTGAATTCTTCAGGTCTGGGTTTTTCTTAGATGAGATAATTTTTGTTACTTTTTCAATTTCCTCACTAATTATTGGCCTGTTCAAATTTTCGATTTTTTAATAGAATTTTCATTTCTATTCATTATTGATTTTCTTGTCAATATTGATAGGTTGTATGTTCCTCTGAGGTTATCAATTTGTTGATGTATATAGTTCATAAGTTTTATGATCTTTTAGTATCTGTGCTATCAGTGGTTATGTCTGCCTGTTTATCTCTGATTTTTTGTCTTTCTTTTTTCTTAGTCTAGCTAAAGGTTTGTTGATTTTGTTTACCTTTTTCAAATAAACAGTTTTGTATTGTTGATTGCGTATTTTCTTAGTTCCTATTTTATTAAATCTACTCTAATCTTTTTTTTTTTGAAAGCAGAATTTATTGAGAGGACAGAAAATCTCCCACAGTGAAAGGGTACCTGAAAGGGTTGCCCTCCGCTCTAATCTTTATAATTTATTTTCTTCTACCAATTTTGTGTTTAGTTTGTTCTTGTTTTCTAATTCTTTGAGGTACAATATTGAGTGTTAGAAATTTCCTCTTTCTTGATGCAAGGCTATAAACCTCTCTGAGAATTATATTAGCTGTATCCTGAATGGTACGTTGTGCTTCCATTCTCATTTGTCTCAATTTTAAAAAAATTTACCTTTTAATTTCATCTTGACCCATTGGTTATCCAGGAACAAGTTGTATAATTTACCTGTATTTGTAAATTTGCTGTGGTTCTTCCTACTAATAATGTCTAGTTTCATAACACTGTGGTCAGAAAAGAGACTTAATATTATCTTTATCTTCATAAAATTTTTAAGACCTGTTTTGTTGTCTGACATATGGTCTGTCCTAATATATGACCTGTCCTGGAAAAATCTTTCATATGTGAATGAGAACAATTGTCTTTTTATAAATGTTACTGGAACAATTGGACAAACATAATCAAAGCAATTAACAACCTAAATTTCTTCACACCTTATGCTAAAATTAGCTCAAAATTGTTCATGAATATAATTGTAAAACCATAAATAA